CGTGGAAAATAATGTGTTTTTTGAACCTTAAACAGCATAAACACATTTCATTACACCAAATACACAAAATAATGTTCTTTTTAGCAGCATCATATGACCCCTTTAAAGGACAGACGTCTTCAATAGAAATGTTTAAAGTACAACCTCTGCAAATTTCATATTTTCACAGAGCATCAACAACCACATATAGCCCAACTGAGCAGTGTGGCTCGAATGGTGATATTTACAGAGACATATGCAAAGCATTATTTTAATAAAGACAGAGCTGGCAAAGACACCATGATTCGGGTCTATAAATAGCACAGATAATAATGTAGAAGTTCAAAACAGGGCCCTGCTTGTCAGCGGGAATACACACATGTGAACGTATGATCTGTAATTTTAACAAAAGCCTTGCAGCTGTCAGACGTCCACTGGATGACGTGTGTTAAATGTTGAGATATGAGTGCTGGCCTGGAGAAATAGCACACATTGTTCATTTATATACTGATGACAGTGTGGCTGGATGAAAATCGGTGAACTAGTCCTTTAAAATGTTGTCATAATGTGAAGAACTGGTGGCTGTTTAAATTCTATGTCAGTTTTCTGGTGTGTTTTACTACTTCACGTCATGCATGATGCTAAGCTGCAAGAAACCACACATGCATTTTGCACTAAATGATGGTTTTAGCAGGTTCCAGGCTTCACTCGCCGTCATCAGGTGTGCACATAAGCTTTAAAGCCTTTATGTGTTTGCTTTCCACAGAGGATGGAGTCTTTGCCTACTGGTGATTTTTATCAGTCCAGCTCAAAACAAAGTAATGTTAAGCCACAGGGATTGCCAGGAACAAAACAAGACTGCGGCAGTCAATAGGATGGCCCTTATAATAGTTCATCTCTCTTCCAGATTGGAAAGCCCTTTATAATACACTCGGTTTTGTTGGAAGCACAGCTCACACAGAAGACAAGCTTTCATGAATCCACGTCACCATCTTTCATCCTCATGCAAAAGCGCAGATTGCTACAGAAATTACTGGATTTCTAAAATGTGCTGAAGAATGGTGGAAGAACGGTGGCGCTTGAATGAAACGAGACCTGGACATGTTTTTGTGAGATTCATCTTCTGGATTCAATCACTGGAATCTGAAGACACTAAAGGGGTAGTTCAACCAAAAATGGACAGTTCTGTCATTAACTTTAGATGTTGAAGATTGTTGGTAATCACACAGTTATGGGAGTACATGGTTTTCGTGTTTGGCTGAACTGCCCCTTTTCTTCCACATTTGCCATGAGAACGTGGTTGAGTGCAACCGAGAGAGTAGGATGTAACACTGAGGACTGGACGGTTTTTATTGTTCAGGAATGCTCAATATCAAAATGAATCATCTGAGATTACAGCACTTGTGTCTCTCAGTTGATGCTTCATAATGATAACATAAGATGCATCATATCTTAAACACTGCTAATAAATATTAATCCAAGACATATCTGTGATTTTTATATCTGAAAATGTATTCTTATATGATCTTATAACACAGTTCAAATATGTGACCCTGGAGCACAAAACCAGTCATAAGAGACAATTTTTTGAAATTGAGATTTATACATCATCTGAAAGCTGAATAAATAAGCTTTCCATTGATGTATGGTTTGTTAGGAGAGGACAATATTTGGCTGAGATACAACTATTTGAAAATCTGGAATCTGAGGGTGCAAAAAAATCTAAATATTGAGAAAATCATCTTTAAAGTTGTCCAAATGAAGTTCTTATTACTAATCAAACATTAAGTTTTGATATGTTTACGGTAGGACATTTACTAAATATCTTCATGGAACATGATCTTTACTTAATATCCTAATGATTTTTGCCATAAAAGAAAAATCTATAATTTTGACCCATACAATGTATTTTTGGCTATTGCTACAAATATACCCCAGCGACTTAAGACTGCTTTTGTGCTCCAGGATCACATAGGTGTTTCACGTAGAATATATTGTCATATGGACAAACTGATTAATACTGGCTATGCTCTATTGCTATTTTTGAACATTTTAGCACACTGGCACAAACCAATGCTCATGTACTCACGAAAAAAAAGTTAATAATGATATACAAAATCATACATACACATGCTATTTTGTGTGTGTGTTTTTTACTGTAAGGAACGTGAGAGCTACACATGCTCCAGTTTCTACATTCATTCATCCTGAGGGAGCGTCTGTAGATCTTCATGCCATCGGTTCTTCTTCATCCTTCAATGCTTTGATCCGTGTCTGTTTAAATCAAGATCAGAGATGAACAGAACGCTGAGTCTTGTAATGACACTTGTAATTATGATATGAGAAAATGCCTTTCATAATAATAATATATATCATGATAGAATTATTTTACTTATAATAAAATATTTACTAATAGTTCAGAAATAAAAGCTTGATAATAATTTAAAAAATATTTTGTGACTTCATTTTAAACAGAGATGAAATATAGCAATGACAAATTTCATTATTCATTATTAAGATTATTAAAACTTATTTTGTGCTTGTCACCTAGCCAGACTTTTAACTTCTCTTCCATTATCAATTTATATAAAGTCTTAAAACAATTGAAAAAGTTGGAATTTTCCTAAGAACCTAATTATGTTCTCATTTCATTTTTCCATTTGTGTGCAGCATTTATTTTTTTAAAGAATAGTCAAGTCACCTTTATTTATATAGCGCTTTTAACAATACAGATTGTACCAAAAGCAGCTTTACAGTATTAAATAGGAAAATAGTGTGTCAATGCAAAAGGACAATAGTAAACACTCAATGTTCAGTTAAAGGTACAATATGTAAGATTTTTTTAATTAAAATATCCAAAAACCACTAGAACAGTGTTATATATTTTGCTGACTTGTGTACTTACATTATCCCAAATGTTTCGAAGAATGTTTAAATCCAGAGAAATAAGCAATTTTAACTAGTGACACGGACCGTGTCCATAGTGCCATTGTGTTGCCTGTCAATGACGTCATAACCTCTCGATTTCCAGTTTTGTTTTGTAGAAAACATGGAAACACCAAAGACGCTTTAATATGTTGTGTGTTTTAATAGACCGGTGACGACCGCACAGAGTAGCATAATAACAGAACTAAATGTATCTAGTATGATAAAACAGCGCTGCTTTACCCCACATACGCACGACCGGAAGCAGCGGAAGCGGTCGACTGTGGCATAATAAAAGCTCCGCTGCTTTACCCCACATACGTACGACTGGAAGCAGCGGAAGCGGTCGACTGTGGCATAATAAAAGCTCCGCTGCTTTACCAAGCACGACCGGAAGCAGCAGAAGCGCTCGACTGTGTCATAATAAAAGCTCCGCTGCTTTACCCCACATACGTACGACCGGAAGCAGCGGAAGCGGTCGACTGTGGCAATATAGAATTTAAGAATGACACTTTTTTAAAAAGTCCTAATGTGGATATGTTACACCCCCGCCCCCCAAAAGATTGCTTTGTTAAACTGTTTCAAACTCCTAAAACTCTAAACATACTTAGTTTTCACATGCTTTGATTTCGCAGGAAGTACATCAGGTCTTCAGTCTCTCAGTCCAGCGCTATTCAGATTGTACTTATACGTTACTAGAGATGCATGTGTTAGAAACAGTTTGCTCTACAATAACTGCATCTTCATGCTGATGCTTAATATTTCGTGGCATTACAAAAAAAAAAAAAACGCCAAGACGGGACACAAATCATAGATACGACTCAGCTATAAAACGGCACTGCAAGTAATGTGATTATATAACTCATGATGAGTGTTTTAGATTTATATGAAGGTAATTTAATGCTTAAAAGATTTGCATACGCTGGGTAAGAGTTGTGGAAGTGTACAGAAGACTGTAAGCGTAAATTAAATTTGCATGCGCAAGAGAAGCTTTGTAAAGGTGTAAATCGCATTTCAAGCGTAAGAAAAAATTATTTGCAGCATTTTACTGTTACGCGTAAGTGCAATTCATGTATTGTGAAACTGCAGCTTCATGCTAACGCAAAATAAATATGATCTGCATGCTTCTGACTTCCATTTTGGCACGTTGTTTTCGCTAAAATACGGTCAAAAGCACTGCTAGCCTGTGAACCGTGATTTGCAAGCGAAAACAACAGTTTAAAGAACTGCAAAATGGAATTAATCTTCATTTAGTTCAGGATAATTCTTGCTGCCAGAATGGTACTTTTAACCTACACATACATTAAAAATAAAAAAAAATAAATAAATAACAACTTGATTAAAACATGATACGTTATAAGTTGTGTAGCCTACCATTATATGTATGTTTACATATGCATGTAGCTGTACATATCGGTTTATTTCGGGAACTTTTTGCCCCACATA